AAAAATTTTTGGTTAAAGGCTTGTCTTGTTCTCTTGGCTCTATCCAGATCTTTGTTTTTTGTTTTAATTTATTAAATGTATTTTCTGTACTGCTATCTTTTATTGTCTTTTATTTACTAATCTATATCTTCAGCCTTTCACAGTATTGATGTAAAAATAATAGTACTCTAATAGGATGACATAGAATAAACGACAGTTTAGTTACCAGGAGATGTATTATCTGATTTTGTGCTTCATTGAGTTGAGTGTTGTCATTAAACTTAGTGAATGTGAGTGGGTTTCTTTCTCGGCCTAGTTTTGTTAGTCTGTAAAGTGAGAGTGATTTGAATCACTGGTGTCCATTAGTGAGCCACAGCTCCCCGGGATTTTTCAGTTTTGAATTGTGCTGAGAATCTAGGAGGTATGCCTAGACTAAAAACTACCGTCACATCGGGGAATCTAAATTAGGAACTGCTGCACTCGGAGCTTTAAATGATTCTAGAATTCAATAGAAGGTTCCCTCTGGTATGAGATTGTACCAGGCAATAGTACACAGGTCATCATTAATGAACGGCTCACCTTCTATCAAGGTATCATTAAAGTGCCAAGAAAGTGAATGGAAAACTGACTTAATTTATGGAAAAATCTTAACAGTTTTGCATCCTGACATTCAATTATCCTCACTTGGACTTAACACACTGTGTCATTTCTTGCTGGATCTGCCAAGACGACAAAGGAATTTCTCTCTCTCAGCCCATTCTCATGAATTGCCACTTTCTTTTTAATAAATACATATTTTTCCTTGAGTAGTTTGTTTCCAGTTTCTATAGTTGGAATATCTAAGTGGAAACAAACTAAGACCTGAGGACTGGGCCAGCAAACGCACAGCACTTGTCTATGGCAGACTTTACAAAGAGATCAGCCTGCTTCTGCCCTTGGGTCTGGGTAGGGCCTGGAAACCCCCAGCACAAGGTTGTAGGTAACTTACTACCAACCGCAAGAAAACTTGTTTTATTCTTCTTTTGGAACTTACTCTTTAAGGCTCTTTTAAGTTACCTTCTTTTTCAGTCATTTGCTCATTCTCAGGGAAGATTTACGTGTGATGGGTTGAGGATATAGCAGAACTAATCCTTTTGCTGAATTAATTTTAATTGGCAGATCAGAACAGGCTTTTCCCAAGTAGCTTTCTCACCTGCCAGAAAATCTCCTCCAGGAACCTGTTTGCACCTCTGTAAAATGGAGGTGATAAGCAGTTGTTTAAGGCTCTTCTTTCATGCCTCCTGATACCTACGTAATCTTCTTCAATTTGTTGATCAAAATAAAATTAGAAAAGATATTTAAATAATAATGAAAATACTATATGTAAAAACTCATGGCATGGAGCTACAGTTGTGCTTCCAGAGATTTATAGTCTTAAATGCTTCATTAGAAAAGAAGGGCTGAAAAACCGGTGAGCTAAGAATCTAGGAAAAACAAAAGTAAGACCCCCCCCCCTTTCCAATAGGAAGAAATAAATGAGCAAAAATTTTAAAACAAAACCTATCGTAGAAAAGAGAAATACAATAATAGGACCAACAATGCCAAAAGCTGGGTCTTTGAATATACGAATAAAATTGATAAGCCCCTAGCAAGACTCATCTAGAGAGCAAAAAAGACGTCATAAATTAAAAGGGAAAATTACTGCAGATCCTACAGATACCCAGTCTTCTTCATGAACACATGAAAAATCCCAAATAAAATATTAGCCAAAATCCGTAACATGAAAAGGTAAAACTTCATCAAGACCAAGCTGGGTCTATTTCAGGAAGTCTGAGTTGATTTAACATTTAAAGAACAATGTTGTGGGTGAGGGTATAGCTCAGTGGTAGAGTGGATGCTTAGCATGCGTGAGGTCCTGGGCTCAATCCCCAGTACCTCCATTAAAAAATTACCTCCCTCCCCCCAAAATAAAAAACAAAACCAATATGTAATGAAGAACAATGTAATCACCATATTAACACCATGAAGAACAATCAAGATGGAATACAAATTTTTGATAAAATCCAGTATCTCTTCAAGATGTTTAGAAACCTGGCAATAGAGAAGAACTTCCTTAATATAAGAAAGGGTGTCTGCATCTAACAAGGAAACTATAGTAAACATCATTTTATAAGTAGCTATGGATTGAAAGTTTGTGTCGCACTATACATGTTGAAGCCTAATTCCCCGTGTGATGGTATTTGGAAGTGGGGGCTTTGAAAGGGGATTAGGTCATGAAGGTGGAGCCCTCATGAACGGGATTAGTGTCTTTATAAAAGAAATGTGAAATGAAATTAATGAAATTCATATTTTATAGCAAGACAAAAAACATCTAAACAAAAAATGTTGCCTCCCCTTTGGCCTCCTCCGCCCGCCCCCTCCCATGCATTGTGTATCTGCATTATGCATCAACCAGCCCCCCATCAGCAGAATTACCTGCTCAGCCATAAAGAGCAACATTCTCCCAACATCAGCAAGACGACTCCTTAAAGATTACATTCCTTTCTGATCTTGTAAGGGGTCATGATGACACTCAGATCTGGATTTTGTGAACTGTCAATAATACGTCATTTAATGTAAAGCCCTGTGTCTCAAAAGACATATAACTGTGTTTTGACTTCTAACAGGTGAAACAGTTCTTGGAGCTTTGTGAGATGCTATTCCCGAGTTATAATTCTCATTTGGTTTGGATAAAATTTTCCATTTCTTTCTTGAATCAACTGATTAATTTTTCATCAACATGCATGGCATAGCTGGCACGGTATCAGAGATGCTCACCAGGGGCATCTGGAGTCTACCCAGAACCTGTGCTCAGTTCCGGCATGGGCTCACTGAGCCCCACCAGCTACTTGGTACTTCTCAGGTGTGCTGGTGAGTTCTCCTGATATCTAGATCTCATTTTTTGAGTGATGATCCTCAAAATTTTATTCAAGCTATTTCATTTAAGACTTGGAGTCTTAAGCGGCACCAGTACATTTCCTAGGCAGGACCTATGGATTCTGAGTGAGAGGCCCAGGAAAATATAGGTGGCTGGGTTTTTGTTAAATTTGGCTTAAATTTTTTTTTAAATGAGTTGATATATAGTCTGAATGAAACTTTTGCTAGTGAAATGAGAGACTGAATTATTCATCTCAGAAGAATAAAGGAGACCCACTAAAGCCATTAAGTAAATACTGCTTGTCCAGGGGATGCAACAGAGGCTGATAACCTAGTGCTCTGAGCATCCATGGTGGTTTTAGACAGTCACAGGGAGAAACTGAGCCTTGTGAAAGAGAACAAACCCATCCAAGGGTAGCTCCTTGGGGAGGTAGACTCAGAAGCAGCACACATGCAGTGCACCACCCTGTCCTTGGAAAGTTCTTCAGACCTTATCTCATATCTCATCTGAATTAAGCTACAAAATTAATTCTGGGAAATTGTGCCTCAAAGGCCAAACAGCTCCCATGCAAACAGCCACCTATGGGAATAGTAGCTGAGTTTATGTATGCTTGCAAGTGCTTAACTGGGAACTAAAATTGGATCCTGGAATGGCCAAGTTGGGGTTCTTTTGGCACTCCAGAACAATTCTAAGCGCGCAGTTAAAGCCAACAGTCTCCTGGATCTGTGCCTGCAGGCTTCACTGGGAACGACAGTGGTAAGTGTTTTTTCTAAAATGAGATTAGCAAGGAAACTTGTAGGGCTAGCTCCCTGGATCCTTTGAATTGGAGAAACTTCTAAATTGTTCACATTTTAGAGACCTTTCATCTTAAGCTATTGTACCTGTTTTAACTGGTATGCGGAAGTTCCAAAAGGTTTCAAAATTCCAAAATAGCCTCATTGAAGGATTTGTTGTAGAAGGCTAATAAAAGATTAATGATATAAAAGTACCTAAAACTTTGACTTTTGCTCCTTTCTTTTTTTTTAAACTGGAAATTTTTTTGTATATATATATTTTTATTAAAGTACAGTCAGTTTACAATGTTATGTCAATTTCTGGTGTACAGCACAATGCTTCAGTCATACAGGAACATACATATATTGGTTTTCATATTCTTTTTCACCATAAGTTACTACAAGGTATTGAATCTAGTTCCCTGTGCTATACAGTATGAACTTGTTTATCTATTTTATATATAGTAGTTCGTATCTGTAAATCTTGAACTCCCAATTTATCCCTTCCCACCCCATTCTGCCCTGCCGTAACCATGTTTGTTTTCTATGTTTGTGAGTTTGTTTCTGTTTTGTAAATAAGTTCATTTGTCTTTTTTTTTTTTTTTTTAGAATTCACATATTAAGTGATATCATATGGTATTTTTCTTTCTCTTTCTGGCTTATTTCACTTAGAATGACAATCTTGAGATCGATCCATGTTGCTGCAAATGGCATTGTTTTATTCTATTTTTATGGCTGAGCAGTATTCCATTGTATAAATATACCACCTCTTCTTTATCCAGTCATCTGTCAATGGACATTTAGGTTGTTTCCATGTCTTGGCTATTGTAAATAGTGCAGCTATGAACACTGGGGTGCATGTATCTGTTTGAATTAGAGTTCCCTCTGGATATATGCCCAGGAGTGGGATTGCTGGATCGTACGGTAAGTCTATTGAGGAATCTCCATACTGTTCTCCATAGTGGCTGCATCAAACTACATTCCCACCAGCAGTGTGGAAGGGTTCCCTCTTCTCCACACCCTCTCCAGCATTTGAATGATGGCCATTCTGACTGGT